GCTCGCGCGCGCGCACGCACACACACACACACACACACACACAAAGTAAGAGTGCGCTGTATACGCGTGAACGCACAATCTCCTATATTTTGAACGGTGTGTGTGTGTGTGTGTGTGTGTGTGTGTGTGTGTGTGTGTGTGTGTAAATACATATTTGGATGAGCACCAACATCGTCAGACGGACCTTCACTATATCTCCAAGTGAACGGTAAAGGACAGCGGCCTAAAGTGAAGAACAAACGCCACTGGTGAAATTCACCAGTTATCACATCACAAATCAGCTTGCACAGTAGAAGGGATGTAACTCGCGACCATGATACCCAACCTTGCGATTATATGTGACCCCGGAGAAAATGTTCAATACACATGCATTGATGTTTTACGGAAATGCTCTCAGGGGATCGATTTACCAACTGACATTCTGTTTAGCCAATCAGTAAGGAATGAATGGTCACAGCGGAAGAAGAATGTTGGTCAACCCCGGACATCTTTGCATGCGGCAAATCGAAATGCTACCATGCATTCTCACGTGGTGAACGAGTCTGCTTTTAGTGCACAAACGTCAGTGTACGATGGAGCACAGGAGAAGGAAATTGAAGGAACACCAAATTCACGAGGAATTGATGTTCCAGTACGGAAACCCTTGGAAAATATAAGCCGTGAAACCGGTGAGTTCAGAAACAAAGGTATCAGATGAGATAGGCGTGGAGTTCAACATTATCTTCTTCCTAATAAAACTAATCTGATGACTTAACTGCATTCCATATGATAGTATCACTACAAATGGGGGCAGGGCTAATCGAAGGTTACAGTAATCAGCCGAGAAAGCCGGACAGGTAGGGCGGGGTGTAGCAGAGAATACCTTGAAGACTGTTGAAAACGATGGTACACAATTTGTCTGTGACTTCTAAAATGCCAACCGTGAGCATCGAATTGCACGCTAGCTCGTTTGTGTGCAGGCATTCCTCTGTTCACCAGGTAACCCAATGGGAATTGTTTAGGGCTGCTGGTATACTCTTGAAGACGGTATATAGACCGTACAAATGCCCTGAATACCGTCCACGAGTGAGTAGAACTGCCACCGACGCTGCTGATTAATGCACGATTAGAATAGATTGAAAATCGGATAATGGTGACGGAAATGGCAACTGAGAAAGGCCAGAGAACTATCAGGTAACATACTATTCCAGTAACAGCAGGAGAAATAAGGTTTGAAGATAATGGCTCACAAACTCTTCAAAAATAAAAAGACCCACAAAAGCAAAAACTAAAGAGCGAATAGAGAGAAAAACTACACTAATATCCGAGATACAGGTGTTGGCCAAACTGGTGCAACATCACCCTCATTTTGGAAATCCATTTCAGCTTACAAAATCATACTTATATATAGATGGCTATGAGTAAAATGTATTTATTCCTGACTTTATCTCCAACATCTATGTTCTTAGTTCTTTTCTATCCCCGTTTGGATTTGTGCGACCTTGAGTATCGCGATAAAATTTGTAGTAGTTCGAAAGTTACCGCTCAGATTTGGAAAATATTTTACAAAAAGGAACATGGGAGTTCATTTTTTTGAATAAATGATTCTTGTCCCACGTGAATGTTTATTAAGTTGAGCACACGTATTCTAAACTGCTTATCTGTTTTTGTTCAGTGCACAGTAAATAAGCAAATTAATGGAAATATTCTAGCTTAAATAAATTGATAAATTGTTTGGCTACAAACTACTCACGTATTATCTACAATACTGAAAGAACTGAAAATACAGTCCAAGAAACAAGTTGACCTTGAAGTGTGCGGCTCGTTAAATAAGCGTCCTATAGTGTCACCATGCTCAAACCGGATGGAACTTTCAAATGGTTTTGGCATATAATTGAAGCCGAGAAGCAACTTAATTGAGAGGCGCGTAAATCCAATGGCTCAGTTGATGTCTTGTGGAAGTGCTTCGATGTGAATATAAGTTCAATTTGTTGCATATTCAACGAAATTTCTCCATCAAGACAAACCGAGAGGAAGAAAACCGGCAATATCTTAGTAAGACAATGGTTGTATTCGATCGCAGTAGAGAATAGTTGCACAAAACCAATCTGGAGGATAGTCCGGGCTGATTATCCGTTTTTCCCCCACGCTTTCGTTTGGAAGATGATGGCTCAATTTAAAGTGCAGCTGAGGCCACGTGATATAATGCCGTTATAGAGCGCCCAACAAAGCACAGCGCGTATTGATTTTACCAACAAATTCAAATCGCGCCGCACGTCCATTTGGCAATGTGTTTATTTCACTGGCAGCCAACGAGTAATACAGCATACGGTGAAAGCTGATCTATTGAGCTAGTTTTCTAATGAATTTCGGTTTACCTGTCAAAAGAAGTAAATATCAATCCCGCCTAACGAGTTGGAAGGGAGTTGAACATTGAGCGCACTGTTGTTGGTCTCCTGCATACACCAATATGGACATGGCAAAATTTCTTGCATTGATAAGCGAGGTTTTGGATAACTGTCACGCCCAAAATGCATTCGTGGAAGTCATATTTTTTACTTAGGAAGGTTGATATATCTTCTCGCTAGAGGTTGGTGGTAGAAAACGGTTAGACATAAATAAATATTATTTTTTCACAGTTATACAGTCTCGGGTGGGGTCAAATTCAATGTCCAATTCGCTCAATTACCGCGCAGCAACTGGGATTTTAATTTAATCAAAACTTTTCCCTCTATCTAACCGTTGGTCGTCAGTGGTAAGGGTGTGCGGTGTATTAGAGGAAACTTGCAAATTCTATTTGGAAGTCAACTTGCTAAAGCGACTGCCTCCAATGCTCAAAAATGAGGAAAAGCAAACGGAACGTTGTCGAGATGAAAGTGCAATACACGCGTATATTCTATGAGTCATTTTAATAAATAAATTACAGTTACGTTTTGTACTGTAACTTTGTTATCTTACAACTGATGCACTAGCAACCGTCGTCGAAATCGCGAAATTGTACACTTTAATGACATGTGGCTGATAAAAGCAAAGACATTAGTGGATATTATATCAGATATGTTGCGTCTGATGTGGGACAATATCGTATTCAATCCCATGAATGAGGCTGGAAAAACGAAGCATTAAGAGGAACAAATGTGATGAAATCAGGAAGTTGGACGAGTTTGGTCAATTCCGGAACCCATATAAAGACGATATGAGTTCAAAATTTTCCCTGTCCACAACGGGGCCGAAAAAGGAATGCACAAACGGAGACATAAGCTGCATTGTCTATGGTAGAAACTGTACCAAATGTCGTATCGAAAGAATACAGCTAAAAAGTGATACGCAGTTGTAAACAATAAACGTGACAGAGTTCTCGCTTACATTGCCCAATCAAGTGAATTTAATTTAATTTAAATTTCACTTTAGATCCACGAGAATCCCCAATCAGGTCTGAATAGCTTTTTGAACAAGAAGACCGCATTGTAGAACCCGAGTGCATGTGTGAGGGGGCAATACGACTCAACGATCGGATGATGTAACAGGCCTAACGACAGGCATCAAAACCCTCTGGAATGTGGGTGAAACACTGTCCCTACATGACGTAAGGTCAATTATAAGCTACAGTGTTATCAGTCGAACCGAAAAGTTAGATCGTTGGGGGTGTAAATCATTTAAGCGAACGAATGAAAGTTAATCTCTGGCTTACCCCTGCTGTTGGCAGTGCGACGGGAAAGCGGCATGTAATGCTCTTCATATGCATTCCGCCGCATCCAATCGAGTGCGGATCTTTAAGTACATTCAGTGGCAATCAGCATTAGCAGTTCCCTCAGCAAGAGTGGTTTATTAAATAAAAAAAATCCTTCAGACATCCCAAACATAAATCGACCGATGATTATCCATTTATTCTAGCTATTCATAGGCGAATTTCTCAACCACGAAAGGAGCCTTCAAGTTTCGAGCGTGTTGTACGGGTTGGGTGGATGATAGTATGGAGGCAAAAACATCTGAAAGCATATTTTATATGCAATTATTTTGATAATAGGACAACACTCAGTGTGATAAGATGCAAGCATATGAAATAGATCGCTGGAAGTAGGCTTTTCCATTGCGCTTCGTCATCATCTATGTGGAATCGAACATCAAGTATACTCGATTCGCGATCAAAGATTACCACGTGTCTATGTGTGCCTCTGCAGTTATGATCCAGACTGACGTGAAAAGGAGGGGCCAGCAGTGGAGAAGACAAGTGATGACCGATACGGCACACATGGTCAATTCACATTTGGGTTAGACGACGTTTCTGNNAACAGATACAACCTAATATAATTGGGGTTCTGGCAAATGGGAGCGGCCGGCATTGTGGTGGTGCAACTGTTTCAGCTGCTGCTGTTGCTGCTCTCGACGAGGACAGTTGCAGTGATCGGTGGGTGTTCTAGCCACGGTAGTTTTTTTGTGAATGAGACAGTGGTGGACTATTTGGTTCGTTAGGTAAGAAGGGAGAGAGACAGGGGGGATTGGTTGGAAAATACAGATGCCTGTGGGTTTGACATGCCCAGTTTGGTCTTCTCTTCCGCAACCCACCCTCATCACAGTCAATCCCCTNTCCGCTTGACGTTGCGCCTAATTACCCGGGGTCGGTTAATACGGACATCTAGCTGACCGGGGTGCCTCCACTAGCTCGTATTCGTATTACTCCGTAGGACCATAGTTTTCGTTTTCTCCAGCATCGGCCTGCGAATTACTACTACTACTACTACTACTACTACACACAAATAGACAGACGCACAGATTGAGACATCTTCGGTCCATTTGTGCGTACATCTGTCCATCCGCCGGACACATTGAACTGTTGCTGTCCTCCATTCCAGCCTATTTCAGTCACCCATCCATCCATCTCTTCCTCTATCCACTCATCTCGCCCCAACCAGCAAGCTTACTTACACTCCAGATCCGTGTTCATCCCATCCTGTCACTCCACCAACCCTCTCAATGGCTGTGCGTGACCTGGACGAGTCCCACCCAACATCAGTGCCTGATCACTCTGATCCATCAACCCCTACTGCACCACCATCACTGCCACCACCATTTGCACTAACAACAACAACTACGACAGCGACGACAGCGTTAGCACCATAAGCTGACACCAGAACACCCCAACATTGGCACCAGCAACGACGACGACGACAGCAATCAAGGCCGGCAGATAGCTGTTGCTGTAGGGCAACTGTTCGCTTGTCGAGATGGTAACAAGACTCGGTATACACGAGGCTGTGCATGCGTGTTAGTGTATGAGGATTGATCGTATCGATTCTCAGGCATGCGTTTGTGTGCATGTGTATATGCGCACGTGCGCACGTTCTCCGTTTGGGTGGATGGATCCCGGGCAGAACGACCAGATGGTTATCCCGTGTTTGCTGTCGGGCCTTCTTTCCGACTGGCATTGGCCTATTGCCAAGACTTGGGCTAGGATCATCGGCCGATGCGGCCGAAGCGAAACGAATTCACCACCACGCTCTAACCGCCCAATCCAGCTCAACCCAGCCCAATAGCGGTAGCACGTCTGCTGCATGCATTAGGAGGGACAATGTCGCCGCGGTGGGTTGTTCAGTACACTTGTGTCTGCCCCAAACTGTACACACATACAAACCCATTCATTTGGAATCGCTAGTGTAGACACACGGGCGCACGTGTCTTATACACTCACATACACTCACTGGCTGTCGGGAGGATAGCGACCGAAAAGAAAAAGCACACATCCACTGACACATCTGAGCCAACAGCCCTTCCAATCCACTCGGGTACACACGTACACATACACAAGCGCACGTGCTCAGTTAGGACCAATCTAACAACCCAGTTCAACCCCATCAACCACCCACCCCTCCCGGTTCAGCTTGATTCGGTCGGTAAGCCCGATTACCATCAAAAGCGCATCAGCGGTGTGTGTTGGGGGGGAGGTGCTACGGTTGCACGTACATT